AAATATCACAGGTAAAGTGATCGATATTTTTTTGATCCGTACACTCCACGTGAGCCCAACCATTGCAGCTATGAAAAATAATTTCTATCGTACGGAACACCAGTGTAAACGTTAAACGCCTTAGAACTCTGGTAATACTGAAGAAAAAAGAACGTCGCCGGAATACGTTGCTCAGGACTATAGTATTCATTTGTTTTTCCATCAATAATGCTGTCAACTAACAGTATAAGCGAGATCTAGCTTTGGCCGGTACTGTACGCTGACCGGTACTGCACGACTCCCCTATAGGTACAATCGGTTAAGAAAACGTTATTTGTAACTTATTTTAGTGGTAATAAAGTAACATAATGTCGATAAAGTTGTTTTATTATAAAATATTACTTATCTTTCTCTCATATTTTAATAATAAACTAAAAGTTTGTTTTCAACAAATTAAACATAAATTGTAATGTATTTGTAAGTTAATCAATTTTAAACAAAACATACAAATCGCTTTTTTAATCGCTTCAGTAACGAAAAGTTAATATAAACTGATAAATTGTAATAAAGAATTAGTGGACCAGTTAGTCATGTAACCCCGGACGTTAGTTAGTCAACCAGCCTCCACCGATCATTTTGATCAATTCATGTTTCAATAGGTCGTCTAATAAACAAACTTAAAAATATTCCTTTAACATTTACTCTATTGTGACTACATAGAGCGTGAAAACATAAAATCTTGAAGAAAAAATATTTACTTAGGTAGCCAATTTTTCGATAAACGCTGATAAAAAAAAAGAATAAATGACATTGTAGAAGTGACTTGCTTCTACGATAAATTTTTTCGTGGCACAGCACAGTTCGGTGCAATGTTATTAACAGTTAGTCTACGTACTCCTTAGGACAACTAGTCCCGGTCTCCCCTACCTACTGTTTCGATGGGAAAAACTTTCTTTTTGGGGTGAAAAAAAAATCCAACTTTATTAGTAGGTACAATTCATTTACGAATGCTGCCGAAAATGTTTCACAAAGATTTAATTATTCCGAGGACTAGGTAAAGAAAAGAAAAAGAAAAGGAAAGAGAGTTGACTGTGCGGCGCGACAAGTGTTCCATAAAGAAGAAAGGAAAGAAAGATTAGGCGATCGTATCGCGAGCAAACTTCTCGAAGAGTTCGAACTTTCGAAATGGGAAAATAGGGCGTAAGAGGGGAAGAATAGGGCGGCGTTCGGTGGAAAATAGGGACACGGGGAAAGTTGGCTTGCTGTGACGAGCCAGCCAGGCATTCCAGTCGCGTGAAATACAGTTTTAAAGGGTGGCTTGCGTCATCGCGACGTCTGTTTATCGAATATCGGATCGACTCTCGTCGTATGTTGGAAACGAGAGCACAGAAACAACGGGGACTCCATGTTTAGACCTCTACCTATAGATGTACAAAGAAAATGAACGTGGTTCTCCTGCTATCACGATTTAATTTTCCTTCTTTTCTTAACAAATAGAATTCATGATAGAGGGCAAGCCGTTTCGTGATTCAACAAGTTATTGTACTTTCTCTTACAAACTGGTAGTAACTCTGCCATTTTGTCAAGTCATTTGTATTATTTTGAACCCATTTCGATAGCAGGTCCTTTAAACGAGAAAAAACCTGCTCTTAAATAATAGCCAATACTGAACGTTGGAGTGAAGTGAGAAAGCTGCCTCGTAAATCGATCGATGAATCGAATAGACGCGTTGTTTCGTGGAATCGGGAGAGAAGAGAAGCAGCCAACCAGCCGGGTGAAGCAATATCGAGATGCACCAAGCGAGTCGCAGAGTGCATTGTACCTCGCGAGCTCGGAGGCTCGGTCTCGTGTTCCCAGCGTGCTTTCCGGCATTGTATGGCGGCCGAGAACGCAGCCGCGAGCACGTGCGGTGAATAAAGGCAAAACTAATGACACACTGAGGGATTCGGAACAGCGACGGCCGCGAAATAAAGCCCGCGACCAGGGAAGAATGGACCGTGACTTTTCCGCCCTCCGTGTTCGGCTCTCGCGCGTATTCGCGGGGGACGTTGTTAACGCGAAGGGTTGAAACAATGCGTATCGTTCTTTCTTTCTTTCTTTCTTTTTTCTAACGGCGAAGTTGAAGTCGCTCTGGATGGCCGTGCAGTTTTTCATCAGTCGACGTTCTAGGGTTTTGTCTCTCAGACAGGGTCAGATGTAGTCGTCGAATGCTACCATCAAATATCAGAATTCCTCTTCATTTTCTCTTTATGAATATCCTGGATATTCCAACAGAGAATTATCAGAACGATCTAAGTATCGCAAATAAATTCACTCTTAATTATAGAACCTACTTATTGCCAATACAGAGGGAAATACATAGGGTCAGAAAAGTGAACATGAGCGTGAAATTACCGAAAAGCATACCACCGTAATTAGAGAGCCGCCTCTAACGTAATCCTTAATAGGTACCTATCTTACACGCCACGAACCACCGAGGGACGGTTCTTTTTCGATTCAATTCTACCTCCCCAATCGAAATTCTTGCCATCGTTTCTCCGCTCTATTTGTCGCGATTATTAACCCGTGGATCAACGTAGAATACGTCATCGTTGCTTGGGAACGATTCCTCCCAGGATCGAAACACGGCGAATTCGAGGCAAGACACGTAGGTACGTGTACGTGTTTCGTATACGACACAGAATGATTTATGCCTTTTGTCGATCGACTTAAACGGAGTCTCGCATTTTAATATGGTCTACTGATCTGGAACAAAAAATGCACGGTGTGTGGGCAATGCTTTGAATGACCTTGAATGACCTTGATTATGCGAATAATACGGGTCATTGTTCTTGCTCTTTCTGTGGCCAAAATATCTACCACGTCAACAGACGCATGATGCGCGGCTTAAAAATGCCGCCAGTGTCCTTCGACCACCTCTGCGACGGCTCCACTCATCGAAGCAGTTATAACGCAGTTACAATCAGTTTTAGTTTTTAATTTTCAAATTCAAATTTTTCCTCCGCACACTTTCATTATTTATAGAGGATCGAAGTTTTTTGTCTCGGGAAAACGACCGACTATTATACACCGGTGGAATAAGCAGGGAACGTGTCGGCTATCTATGATCTAGAATCCGTGGACAACGCGATTCTTTTCCACGCCTCTGATCGTGTTGTTACCGAGCGGTAGAAGGTGGAAATGATAGTGATTAGAGTCACGAAAGGTTCCGTAGGAAGTTGGCCAATGGCCCTCATTTTAGATTCGCCTTTAAAACCTTAAACGAAGAAACGTGCAGTGTGCCATGGTGTATAATATGTACTTTCTATCTAATCAGGAAGTGGTTGGGAATAAAATGCAAATGCATTCGAGTTTGTTTCACGGTGTTTTATTTTATCAAACCAGTCGGTTTTTTTCACCGCGGAAGAAAAAGAAAGAAAGGAAAAACAATGAAAGGGTGGAGATAAAGGGAGAAGGAGAGAAAAAGTGAAATTGTCGTCGGGGCTAAAGTATATTTTGAGTGAACGGAGGAAAAAAGAAACGAGAGGAATTGAAATATTCTACGGTGGAAGGAAGAATAACACGCGTGTACCGTTCCGTTTCGATCCACGTTCGGAACGAGGGGAACACGAAATGGAGCGCGAGTAGGCATCGCGGAGGGGAGTCCAGGTGAATCGTGGTCGAAAGTGGTGGCAGTAGTGGGAGGCAAGCCGCATCTGTAGTAGGAGAGGGTTGTGGTAGGTCGCGGGAGCAAAATGGCCGACCGTTGGTTACCTTGGCAACTGAACGGGTGGTGTCTGAACGTCGCCCAGAGGCGGAGCTTGTGCATCATGGCGGCCATTACTAATCCCCACTCCGACAGGTATCGCCGTCTAGTGACTAATCGTAGAATTACCAAGCCTTGTTTTCCCCGCGCTTTTGCCCCATATTTCCACGTCTGTGTATTTCATCGCATCAAATTTGATATAGCACATCTTTATTCATTGAAATTCTTCGAAATAAATATCGATTTGACCGAACCGACTCGTTCATCTAATAATTTCTCTGTTTTTCTTCTGGTGTAGGTATATTTCATTTCTTTTCAGGTCACGTTTTCTATGAAAAATTACGAAGAAACGAAAGGGGAATGAATGACCTGTCAAGGCTGTATTCTTTCTTGGTAATATAATGTTGTCGTATAATTCCCAGGGGAAAACATTTCACAGAGTTATTGAATTGAACAAGTGTTTCTTTTTAATACGAATGATCTTTCGTGAACGAGACTTCATTTATTCTCCTGCGCGAAGAGAATAAATAAATGTAGAGACAATGAGGCGTGTGTAAATCCCTTTCGGAAAACATCGCCGCAAGCGCCGGCCACAGAGGCCATTAATGTTGATTTATGTATTAATTGGCTGACGCGGCACGACTGTGTCGGGTCATGCGTGTGCCTTTGAGTTCGTTGCGCTGCATGGGAGGAATGTTGATCGTTCGAAGCTCGCTTTCGCTTGGAAAATTTAGCGAACGTACGTCGAAACCGTGCCTCGTCCCGATAACTTGAAATTCTAACCGGGGAAAGGTTTTTCGAAAACCTTTAAGAAAGAAAGCACACTGTCACTTTTATCGGGACACTCTCGACACGGTGATCGGCCTGTGTATTAGGCGAACTTCAATTAGCGATCGCGTTCGCTGTTCCCTGGCGTCGAACGAAGTCCCGGGAGTAAACCGACCGTGAGAATTCACCATTCCCTTCTCGATTAACCCTTTTAACACCGCTGTTCGCCATTTATGAATAATGGATATTATTAATCGACCTCTATTCGATAGCCTCTCTACATTCCTGTTTCTTACTATGCAAACGAGGTAGAAAAAAAGAGAAAGTTTCGTTTGAAAAATGACTCTTCCTCCGTAATTTTCAATATCTTATTATCGAGATGGAGAAACGTGACTAGTAAATAAATAAGGTGAAAGAGGGGACAAGGTTCGATTCGGATATAATTTGGCGGGTGCGACAGTTTGTTGAAGGAAATTCTTGGAAACATAAACAAACGTCTTTCTTGCAGATCCTCGTAGAATACGACGACGTAGAGTGGCAACGAAGGGAATGGCTATCGCCGCACAGGGACGCGGTGTTCTCGTTCTTCTTAGTGGAAAAGGGTCTGAATTGGGCCGAGCGACCTGACCCCAGGCATGCCAGCCTTATCGCCATCGATCACCACAATCACGCGAATAATAACCACCAGCATCATCGTATCAACGGGAAACCCCTGAGGGGTGCCACTGCTGTCGCGAACACGGTCGCCTGGCCGGCTCTAGTAAGTGTGCTTTGTCCTTCGTGCTTCGACCGCCCCTGAAAGCCTCACCCTTCTTCATTTATCGATTAGAGAACCCTTTGCGTTCTAACATCAACCGTTCGACTCTCGCGTCCTTTCATCCAACGTCGTTCATTTTACTTTTCGATCCACCCGCTTAAAGTGTCCATTCTAACAAGGAGTGGAAGGAAAATTGAAAGCTCGAGTAGTACAGTGTCAGTACGGGAAAATGTTGTGCAGTTTGCATAATGCAAAAGCGCCTATGATCCTTCTTTATGTCCAACTAGGTTCATTGAATCTCTTCGCGTCTTACAATTGTAATAGTTTCACTTGATAGATGAAGCGAGTTTTAATCCTAATTACAATTTAGATATTAAAACTTTTAAGTTTCGTACTTCATTGGAATGTTCATAAATTTAGACATTTTCGAGGGCATGTTTTTAATACAATTACTTGTCAACGGGTATGATTTTTATTTAATCGTTCAATTGAAATTCATTTGCAGACTTTTTACCCCCTGGTGGCGCGTGCAGAGCTACCGGAAGACACGATGCCCCTCGAATTCATGCAGGATCGAAGGCTTGACTTCGTCGACTACTCGAAGCTGAAGCCGTTCACAGTGAGTATCATCATAGAAAATTGAACCTCCAACCTTCGAAAAAGATCCACTTTGAATAATGATTAGACGGGTTTTTAATTCGTTAAGACGTCTTACTTTTCCCCCTCCATCGTCTCTTTCACCTTTCGATAAGCGTTCAAGTAAAAGTTGCACACAAGTTTCCTAGATCGACCAAGCCACCTCTTCACAACTGGAAACTTACTTCGTTAGAACGGTGAGGAAACTTGGAAGTAAGTTCCGAGGCTATTGACCTATCCGACAGCTCTCGGGGAACCGTTGCCGTGTCTGCGAGTAATCTTTCGCGGGGGATGCTGATCCTAGTTGGCGATAACCGATCGCCTATAGGTCATCCACCTTTGGGGTCTGGTAGGGGGGGCTGTGTCACCTTTTTTTCCTTTTCAACCAATATTTTTCAGCACAATTTTTTAAAGACGGACGAAAACATTCCAATTCTTTTTTTCTTCTTTATTTTCGCATTGTAGGGGAGATCGGGGCTAGTTGTCCTAAGGAGTACGTAGACTAACTGTTAATAACATTGCACCGAAGTGTGCTGTGCCGCGGAAAAATTTATCGTAGAAGCAAGTCACTTTTACAATGTCATTTATTCTTTTTTTTTATCAGCGTTTATCGAAAAATTGGCTACCTAAGTAAATATTTTTTCTTCAAGATTTTATGTTTTCACGCTCTATGTAGTCACAATAGAGTAAATGTTAAAGGAATATTTTTAAGTTTGTTTATTAGACGACCTATTGAAACATGAATTGATCAAAATGATCGGTGGAGGCTGGTTGACTAACTAACGTCCGGGGTTACATGACTAACTGGTCCACTAATTCTTTATTACAATTTATCAGTTTATATTAACTTTTCGGTACTGAAGGAAACGAAGGTTTCGTTACTATAGGTATATATTTATATTATATTTACGTTTCTATAACTCTCTACGCTTTTGTTGCTACTGTAAAGATTTAAATTGTTAATTTCGATGTTAAAAAAGCGATTTGCATGTTTTGTTTAAAATTGATTAACTTACAAATACATTACAATTTATGTTTAATTTGTTGAAAACAAACTTTTAGTTTATTATTCAAATATGAGAGAAAGATAAGTAATATTTTATAATAAAACAACTTTATCGACATTATGTTACTTTATTACCACTAAAATAAGTTACAAATAACGTTTTCTTAAGCGATTGTACCTATAGGGGAGTCGTGCAGTACCGGTCAGCGTACAGTACCGGCCAAAGCTAGATCTCGCTTATACTGTTAGTTGACAGCACTATTGATGGAAAAACAAATGAAGTACTATAGCCCTGAGCAACGTATTCCGGCGACGTTCTGTTTTCTTCAGTATTATCAGAGTTCTAAGGCGTTTAACGTTTACGCTGGTGTTCCGTACGACAAAAGTTCTTTTTCGTAGCTGCAATGGTTGGGCTCACGTGGAGTGTACGGATCAAGAAAATATCGATCACTTTAATAGAAGTTATTTTTCATAGCTGCAATGGTTGGGCTCACGTGGAGTGTACGGATCAAAAAAATATCGGTCACTTTACCTGTGATATTTGTAGACGTGCCTAAATAAAAGTTCTATTCTATTTTTAAATGATTTTTACTAACATTATTTATTACTTTATGAGAAAATTTCAGAAAAACGATTTGTCCCCTGTTATTAAGCACCCTTTGTACTTCAAATTACTTTTTTGAAATTTCATTTTTACCAACATTAGCCCAAGTTATAGTATAAAAACTTAGAGTGGCCGGTACTGCACGACTCTCCCCTGGTCAACCTATCCCATATCTAAGTCTATCTACCTCGGCCATGGGTCTAGTTGACCAGCTTGTAAGATGTTAGAAAAAACGTTAAAATACCTTAATTGTTATAACATTAAGTTAACTTTAATAATTTAATCAGGTAGTCAGATATATGTCTTACCAAATACAGTAACCGTTATAATGATATTTCGCCCACATAGTTTATTAAAAATCGAAAACTGAAAAACTGGTCTACTATCTCCGGTCTCCCCTATCTAAGTAGGTACGGTAAGAAAAGGACGAAACGATAAACTTGCACCTATTCTGTCTATTGGAAAGGGCGGGCGAGCGTACTCGAAAAGTTTTTACGATCGAGCAGGCGGACACGGATACGGGGAATTGTTTCCAAGTAATTAAACTAGCGGAACTTTTACCGTTAAAAGTTTTCTCCGGTTCGCCGAGGAGGATTGTAAGACGTTCACATGCGGTGCGAAGTTCCACGAAGAGCGCGGTCAGGATCAGCTGCGCCGAGTTTCATGCGCCGATCCTTTCGTATTAAGGACGATTACACCGCGGAATTAGTTCCACTCGATGGGGAAAATGGCGTGTTTCATTCAATGGTCCCTGTTCCACTGCCGCAGGCATAGAGATCTTGTGGCGACATCCTGGTATCAAGTTTTATCCTCCAATGAAATTTCTTTTTTCCACTCGTACTTTCTCAGCACTCTTGAGACTTAACTGGTTGACACAATTCGTAAGATGATAAATCGATGGTTGTCGAACGTGCAATTTTATATTATTTCACAAGATAAAACGAACGAGCAAAAAAAGTAACATGTAAACATAGAGATTTTGGGAATAAGGTACGTTTATCTTAACCCTCCGTTGTCAGATAGACCCACAATTTTACTTTGGAGAGGAATATCTTCAAGGTATCGCTTTTAATGCCACTCTGTACACAATGTGGCATTAATTTGAAATGTTTTCTTTAGTTTCCAGTGGTTGCACTGCTAAAAATCTGGTTGGCATGCGTCTGGCAACCATCGAAAGTAAACAGAATGACCCATATATGACAAAGGTGTACTATTTGCTGCAATCGGACATATTTTATTTTTGTCCAAATTTTATATACAAAATGAAAGAGTGACGTGTAGTTAGTCCGAAGATCATTATCTTTCAGTTTGTGCAATTCATTAGCTGTTTCACACATAAAAGGATACTCCACACTTTCCAGTCCAACATGTAAAAGTAAGCTCAGACCGATGTCAAAACTGCAATAGCATCGATTTTAGAGACGTATACGTTGCATCCGCCAAATTGAAAAGGCTTAATTTAGAGAACATAATATTTAGAGGACGTAATAAAGAGAACACGTTGTGGATTGTGCGGATACAGGACAGATTGTAAAACTGTGCCACAAGTATTGCATATTCTTATGCATTGACTGTGACGGAAATGACTGAAATTGTTGTGATTTCTTTATAATATCATTTCTTTTATACATAGATATACAAATATATACCTAATAAAAATGAAAAGATTTGTATCCGTGTATGAAAATAAATTGATCTTTCCATATAAATGCATCATCCTTCTTACTCAAAAATTGCTCTTAGGCAATATGTAAACTAAATACCCTTTTTGAATCATACACTAGAAAACAATTTTTCCTTTTAAGGTACCATACCTTAAAAACATCGTCTTATATTTGTAGCAAGAAATGTAGAAACATAAAAAAGTCGTAGCTTTGTTTCATAAAAATTACATTTTCCGGAACATACACTTAAAAACACATTTTTTTGAGAATGATGTCATTTCATTTGTTAACTTTTTTTCATCGAAACATATTCTACGATATTCAAGCTACATTCTCAAATTTTTTCAATTCAATATCACTGCTATTTTCTGAACAGCAGCCACTTAAGAATTGAACTGGGTCACTTAGACCCAGTGTGACAACGGTGATTCGTAAAAGAGGTGTGACAACGGGGGGTTAATTTCAACCACGAAGGTCAAGGAGTAAATCGATTTTCGATAAAACGATCCTGCAGGCTGACATGAAGTACGCCCTATATTTTAAGTTGAACTTCAGCCGGGGCGCGCGGGCAAAGTGGAAGAAAAAAGTGATCCTGGTGCAGCGGGAATAATTTCACCGCGGACATCGGGGTCACTGGAAATTGCTCGTGCGTGGCCATCACCGGCGAGCACATTCGATTATCGATTTCTGATAGTCGCAGCTGAACACTTTCCCTCCGTCAGAGAGGAAGAAAAAGAGAAGGGAAGCCGTAGGAAAACGCGTAGTCGTGTTGCAAGAGCGCACAAAGAGCAACAGAAGCAGCGAACATAAGAGTTGTTGATTGAAAAAGGGGAAAGATACAAAAGTAGAAGGAAGGGAAACGGCAATGAACGTGAAGTCCAGCGGAAGAGTGAAAAAGAAATGGAAGAAATAAAAAGGAAAAACGTAAAGGAGATGAAAGCGAGAAATTTTCCCTATTTTCAATTTCTCTATATTTGTACGATGCATTTTTCACACGTTCGTTGATCCGTAGGTACACATTTCAACCTTTCTCATCCACCGATCTATACTGTACTGTACCAACGTCTTCGACTATATTTCGATTAATAAGTACTTCGATTGGCAGAGACAAAGGTGAAACGCCCTTGGGCAAAGTGTTCAAAGAGAAAGAGAAAGGTGGAAGAAAGGAAAAAAGGTGGTTAGAATTGGTCGTGGAAGGCCGCGAAAAGAGCGAAGAGTCTGCTGACCCTGAACTATAAATGCAACGGGTTCTTTCTGCCGGCTGTTCTCGAGGCGCATAGCCTAGCTGCACGCATAGCTGGTGGCAAGCGAGGGGGCCGTGAAGACGCCCTGACACGTACCTAGACGCCCGGAAAGAAGCTTCGGCTGCTTTTGCTCTTGCTTCCCTGGTCCACAGCTGCCGATCTGTTGACTCGTGTCATGGCATCGCGCGTGGCAACAGCCAACACGAGGCGCCAACATATTCCCGTTTTGCCTAACGGTCTTTGGCAAACGTGACACGCTCGCCTCCTCCCCGCCCTTCCTTTTCCTTCTACTTTTACGTTCTGTCACAGGACACGAGCACAGGTACCACCAATTTCTCCTCGAAACAACCTCTAAATTCTCCGTCGAACGAAGTCCTCATGTGTCGTAGGAAATGTATTAAACACGCGCGACCCAAGAGAGTAAATGATAGGATGAGTAGACGTTTACGAAAATAGTGGAAACATCGCGTTAGGAGGTTATTTAAGAAGCGACGTTGATTCAGGACGATATTAGCACGGAACGTGAGGCAGATCAGCCGTTAAGTGCTCTCGACGGTTCGGTAATAGCGTTATAATTGCCGTTATATTACTGCCATTATCGTGCATCACCGTCATGCTTCACACCGTGATTGCACAACGCGTCTGACGTAACGGCCCGATCATGACGTAACGAGACGTTGACGTAACGTTCCCTTGGAACGCGTACTTACACGCGTGCACCTTGTCTCTGTTCTCGTGGGAAAATCGCTGGAACAACTTTATCGATACGTTCTTGTGACCTAAGTTTCAGAATTTCCTAAATCTCGTTTCCGTTTCGACTTTCGAATTGCTAGGTTTTCCTCTTGTACATTCTTTTGCACCTTGCAACGTGTATATAGGAACTCGAATTTCGATAAGAAAAAAACGAGACGATGTCCGCACCATGTGTGTGACGTTGAGGAGACTCAGGCGAGTAATGAACTTTCGTCAGAAAAGAATTAACAGCCAATTACGAGGCGAAGTATCATATCAGATAGCTCGATTTATTGGTGGAAGTAGAAAGTGATCGATGGCGAACCTGACGTCTCTTTCGTCTTCCTCTTTTCCCTCTCGATCGATCGCGTATGTCGTATAGACGTCGAAGTTGGGTTAAACAAACGAACTAATTCGAAAAGAAGGGACCTGGTACACCACCGCGCATAATGCGGTTTCTCTTGTTTATCGTTACTTCTGATCCGGCATACCTACCATAACGAAGCTTGAACCGGTCGTCGTTGTTTTTGCAGCAAGACTGGGAGTTGACGAAGGGCTCTGTGCCCTGGGCGTGCGCTGTTAGGCGATGGGCAGAGATGCAGGACGGACAGAGAATCTTGCTGACCACGCCGAGCGTCCTGGTCGGTTTCAGGGTCGAAGTTTATCGTGCCGAGGGCACCACACAATGGTACACTGCCGTCATCGTCGGTTACAACGAGTCCACCAAGGTGAGAAACTTCTTCAATTTCGTTTTCTTAATCTTAACAGCTCTTTAATGCGAGAATATCCCATTCATATCTGAATGTCGGTGCACATTTTAAACTTTACGACTTTTCTAACGATCTAATCGTTTCATCTCCCCTATACGTGTTTAATTAAACGTTAAATGAAAACGAGGAGAAACTTTCACTCTCGACGAAAAGAAGGTTTACACAAGGTCTTGCGTCGTCGATCGGTCAGGCATATTGACAGCGAAGGCTAGGATCGTGATACGTCTTAACGAGGAGTCAGTCCGTCGACTTGGACGATCTTTAACCCTTAAATTGGCAGATACGCCGCACTCGAACACAGAGATTGCCAGGTTCCTCTTGCTTCGAGCGCAACATCTGCCTGCAGGAATTATAAATTGACCATGAAAAAGATTTATCGCTGTTCGGAAGTGGCCTGATGTTTCAATCGACGTCCTCCAGCCTCTATAACTTGACGCGAAAATGAAAAATGCTTTCTTTGTCTCCCATTCGAAGAAGAAACCTTTCGATACTTTGCAAATTTACAAGAGAAAATTACTGTGCAATTCCAGGACTTGACTGTCACCGACGACACAGTACTCGAGGACCACAACGAGGACCCCAGCCTAGTACAAATGCGGCTGATTGGCGACGGAGGTGAGTGTAGACGAATGACCTTCGCCATTTTCACATCTAGAAAGATCCTTTCTTTCACGAAAAAATTTCCCCCTTTTTTTTTCCTAAAGAAGATGAAAAATTCCGAGAATATCGTGGCAATGGTAGCTTGTTCCTTTTTCTGCAGTTGTCGAGAGCATCATGAGAGGCGAGGTCGTCGGCATGACACCGAGGAGGTCGAGGTCATCGACTGCTCTGACGCACGCGCTTGTTGTGGTGAGTGAAATTCAATTCCGTTCTATTATTAAATCGCTATGTAGTTTACTATAATAAACGGCGCGGCGGGTGTACTGTATCCTACTGCATTTTTCGGCTCTATTTAAGTCGAAATTGTGAAAAAACTAGATGCACATTTTTGTGCTGCACCGTGCCGCTGAGTTCCGTATGAATTATTTCATTTTCGTGGGAGGAAAGACTAAATTTTTCGTGAATTTATTCTCACCAATGAACGAGCAGCAGGCTTTGTGTGATTTTTGTTAAAATGTTAAAAATCTTCTGACTCGGGAAACGAAGGAGGTAGAACGAAGAACGAGCGGGTTCTTCGATGATTCGTAGCACTGTTAGTTTGATTAATATACCTGGCCCAGATCGTGACGTCGCATTCGCGACTTCCATCGTTGGTCGAGAAGAGGAAAGCTTCGAGAGAGGAATCGGGAAGCGCGATAACCTCGACGAAACAAACATGTATAATAGTTTATGCTAAGATAACTCCCCTCTAGTCAATATGTAGTTGGCCGAGTGTATTTTGCTCCATTTTAATTACCTAGAAAAACTTTAAACGAAGCATTTTTACAAAAAATGATCCTTTTTAAACGTATTTACTCGATTGTGTCAGTAATCGTCGGAACATGTAGAAAACACGTATGCCACGTATAACTCGAATATTCCTCCGTCCTTGGCTGCCATTTTCGCACCTGTCGGATAATCAGCCATGTAACTTTCAACATATCGGACCACGTGTTATCACCTTATCGCTCGTTACCATGAACCGATCGAATGAACAACGGTCTCCCGAATGTTTTTATTATTTCTACCGATACTGGATATCAGTCTGTGCAAGATAAGTGAATCGCACAAATGTTTCAACGCTGTAAGTGCAGCCTTGAAAGCAGCAGAAAATGAAAAGGAAAGAAACAGCGTGTAAGGCCAGGGAGGGAAGACATTGGAGGGAACGTGACTCTATGTGCTTCCCTTTAATGCAGGAAATCAATAAAGTTCTGTTTGCGGCACCCTCGAGCTTTCAGGAATCAGGAATAGAGTCCGTTGCTACCTTGGCGGCCGACTTCCGTTCGATTGCCCCACCTTCTTCGTGTCCTCTTCGCTCGATTTCCTGGCGGGACGGTAATCGAACATACCAGACGGTCCCTTCGGAACGACCGAATCTCCGTCATCGGCCATTCTGCGTCTCCCTCCCCGTTTCCATCAGACTCTTCATTTTTAACGAATTTCATTTATTCGCACGTTCCTTGAATATTTCTAAACTTGCCCGAGTTATCATAAAAATTCCCTAATTGTTCTTCCTCCTACTTATATTATACAATTTAAGACTCTGTTGATTTTGTTCACGATACATTTCCAATTTCTCAAGTAAATTCATAGTAATTTCATTTGTAATCACGGATCGGTCAAGATTTGATCAATTGTTGGAAAAGCGAAACGGGGCATTGGAAATTGATAATCAAAAGTCGCTTTTCGAAGTTACATGGTTCGAGTGGCAACCAACAAGAGAGAAGCGTTAACCCCGGTTGCCCCGTCCTAGTCCCTAGCGTTTCGACGACTAGGAACTTTCTATCGTTAGCGAGTAATTCTCGAAAAGTTTCAAGATCCGGCGTTCGTACGAAGAGTTATTCCCTCTTTGAAATTTCTTCTTGCCCCGGGAAGAAAGTTCGAACGGAGAAACTTGGAATTCTCTCTCCATCCGTCGACCTTACAATCTCGTTAATGCGAGAGACCTCACTCTCCCACCCCTTCGTCGAACCACGACGATCGGCTGTGTTCATAAATCATTTTCTTTCCGCGAAATCCGCCTGGGACACGATTATACCGACCGGTCGATCCACAAGGAACCAGCCCCTAAAATTATTTTCTTTCGTGACCTTCCTCATGCAACCCCCCGTGTTCTACCCTTGCAAACTTGGAAGTAGATGCATTCGAACAATCTAGAAATAAAGGAACTTCCTATTTTGCATACTAAATTTTCGTAATCGTCAGCGCATGGCAGTTTCACGCAGAATAATTCAGCGATATACCGATAGAAAATATGATAAATTGATTTATTTATGTACTTGTTTCACATCTAGACTTAGATGGTTAAGTCAAAGTCCCGTTGTCAGGGAGGAATATGCCGGAAGCTGGCTGGTCTGGGTGCTGTGTGGAAAGTTGTCGGAATTCGTGACTCGCGGGATACTTGGGTCGACAGCCCTAAGTCGACAAGTTCCGAGCTGGCTTATGCGAGTTCGAAAACTCGCCGAAAGGGATTAAGCCGACGACTGCTCCCTCGTAATGGAACTTGCTCTCCAGTTTCGAGACGCTTCTTGGAAACGGCCATTAGAGAGCCACTTTAAAGACTGCGCTGCCTTTCGAACTCGTTCCTCTGAATTTTCTTGTCTCTATTCCCCTGACAATTTACCCGAACGCATAGGTATTATCCGTAAAATATTCACACGTCTCGGTATCATCAGGAATCGAGATACGGGAAATAATGCTGGTGGTATTTATAGAGGGGTTATCTCGTTCGAGCGATTCGATTAATTCCTCCAAGCGAAACGTTTATTATTGCACCGATGATGTATCGTTTTATCTCTTCGAAAAATCAAAGGATAAAAGCGTGATTACGCGCTTAGTCATAATTGCTCCGGAGTGCGTCGTTGAAGACTCCACTCTTCTTTTTACGCTTTTTACGCTCCAAGGCGTGTATAGATATACACACCGGTCTGAAATTCGTCTAGAAAATGTTCGCTAACTTGTAACTGTACAATCTTCCCTCGCACTTCCGTCTTCTATTCCCCAGTATGGGATCCCCTAACAATATTGAGTCCCGCGAAGGAACTCGCTCTACATTGAACGTTCCTGTATACGTGAGAAAGGGGATAAGGGAGATTGGAAGGTACCCCAGCGCCTCTCCTCATCATCTCGTTCCTCGCGTTTCTCATTAAATCGGCGAACAGCTTCTTTAAAAGGGGGCCTCACGGGTCGAGTCGTCCATTAAATACGTTCCCTGGCGGAGGGAAAACTCTCGAGGCCTCCTCGAACCGGTCGCACCTGCTTTCCTAATCGGGAGCGCGAGACAAAAGGGGCTCTCGAGGCTCAGGTGAGAATAGAAGCGGACAAGGTCAGATCGGTACGAGGTGAGTCTCGATTTTTACGAGTTCGTTACCTTTCTTAACATTTTTAAGCGTGTGGAGAAATGAACATTTTTACTTGTCCCGAAATTCTCAACGAGCAGGAAACGTTCGATCGAATTTTACCCAACGCTTTATCAGACAGAAAAAAGACAGGGCTACTATACTTTCTTAACAAATTGACGTTTCTCGATGGCTAATTCTTGCCTACATTTCAAAACGTCGATCGATCTCCATTAAGAATTCAAAGGAAACTCAACCAACCTGTGTCGGTGGACAGAACAATTGATCCGAATGTAAATATCGGGCAAACACCCCGGCCTTCTCGAAGCAGAAGGGGGTGGTTGGCCGTCCGCCAATCTCTCTCAGACTCCGCTCAAGTTCACCTGGAATGTTCGCCTCGTAAACTTCCTCTTGTTTCAACCGTCTCCTTTCTCCCCAGCTTCTCCTCTGCTATTTTCATCGGCCTCATCTCATCTTTATATTCGCCTGGATATCCAGCCGCTTTAGAGGGTCGTTCAGCCAATAGGGAGGGGTGGTTGGCCGAGTCTGCACCGGCAGCCGAGAGAAAACGACCGAGCCTCGTGGCACGTGGAGGAGAAGCACGAGAAGAAGGGGATGTTCCGGTTAGAGAGACGGAGCAGCGAGGACGCTGGATCAGAATGAAACGGAAGGGGTTGGGGCGAACGAGTTGGAGGGAGGAGGGATGTTCGAGGGGCTAGAATGCAGGGCTGGGGGTTAGAGTGGCAGAAAGAGAAACGTGCAGAGTTGGCGAGGGTGGAAGCTGAAGCTGCGAACCCAGAATGGGAATCGGCACTCGAGAATGGGAAAAGGGGATGCGTAGCGTGGAAAGTAGGTGGGGCATGGTGGCTGGCTGTGGATGGGGTTGGGGCGGCGGTCGGTAGCTGTATTGATTCTCGGGCAGGTCAGGCTGGTGGGGGCGTGGATAGTGGGGGTGGCTGGTGGTTGGCGCGAAACACGTCCCTGCCCGGACGGAGCTAACGCAAAACATCAGCCTGCAAATTGGTTAATTTCGTTCGTTCGAGAACTATCTGAAATTCCTGATACTTTCTACATTTTCTACGGCTTCCTCCACCTTCAAATTCCCTTGATGTTCTGTGATTTCATGACAGCGGGACTTTCCTTTCGGGGGCTCTTCTAAGTATTCTGTTTATATCGACCAGGGTGCGATACACTCGCGTTTCAGTCAGACGTTCACGATGCACGCGAACGCGATCATGCAGTCTGAGGGATATGAATTGTTAACGAGACCGTCCAATCCGTTAACCAGCCAGCCCTTCTCATTTATTCCGTATCGACGGAAATACTTCCGCTTATTAATAGCGCGTTACCAAGGCTCGTCAGGTAGGTCAATATTGATTTCGAATTCAGTAGATGGTATGGGCGTTTTTGGAGGCGAGAGACACGATCAATTACTGATTTTTCTGGAAACGCGCGTTATCAAGTTCTACTTGGTCTGGAATTTTTCGAATCGATCAAACGAAGGACCCCCTTCACGATACCTTCCTTCCTTTGTAGACGACTCAATTTCGTGGCAATTTAATTTACATCGGAAGTTTCATGAAAATTTCATCGTGACGGTGCAGCCCAGATCTAACTATTACCTACGTCCCGAGAAAAGGAAAAAAATGTGGAGTAATTCATTAAATTCTCCCGGACACAAGCGGGGCGCGGCAGGGGAAAAACGAAGCGACGGCTGGAAGTGCTCAGTGGAAAATGGCATGTAAATTAATTGCGATACCGTTCGACCGCACGAGCCGTTTCCATCCCCTACCTACGCCCCTTCTACCCTTGTCGAGCACGCGCTCGTCAACAAATTATTCGCGATCAAGTATCCCCGAGAATTTCGTTTCT